GAGCACATATATTTTTGTAATAAGTGTTTTTAGCTAAGAATAAACTAAAAGAGTTACACAGTGTAGCTTTAAGAGGATCCTTCATTTTAAAAACGCTGTATATTAAGCCAATCACAGTGCGCAGCTAACCCAATACATTCGGACATTCTTCGCTTCCACATCCATTGAAATGCATTGCAGTTAGTCAGGTTTCAATCGTATTTTCTTGTCATTTTAAGTTTAAAATGTTCAAACGGTGTGCAAGGGGTACATGCAACTCTGACACTAGGTTCCCAAGAGGCTGGGCGACGGTGTATATTTTTTTACCCTTTCCCAAGCCACATCTCAACCGAGATAAGTGTCTGCTCTGGATTGAGTTATGAGATAGACCTGTAGACTGTAAAAAAATATGGACAAAGCTTCTGAGACGTCACCCATAGACTCTGTGAAGAATGGGTTTGAGGCTGTTTATGGGGGGTATGGGCGGCGCCATACTGGAAAATCATGGGAAATACAAAATACAAATGTTCAGAAAGGATACAGAGGTGGTATGATGTGTTGTGTCAGATCAAATTCCACTCGGCGCAGCCCGTTATCAGCTGTCAATCAAAGTTAACCACCCTTATTTGTCATACATTTTATATCTAAATACAATCTAAACCAACGAGTTAGAAAAAAATTCACCCCCTCACAGTTGTCAGGCACGCGGAACATATTGTAGATTACAATAAAAGTCCATGGGACCAAACTGTAAAAGCATGAATTTATGCTGTGAAAAAGGACATTTTAACACGGGGTATATGGACATTTGCTCCCTTTTGGGACCGGCCTCTAGCGGATTTTCGAAGTATTGCAGTTTTTCGCTCTTCCGGGTAGGCTTCATGTTTCAGATTAGAATGTTGCTGCTTGGGTAGACCACAACACCAACTAAACATGGATAAATTAAACAAGGATGTCTATATCTGTTCTAAGTTAAGTCAACTTTGAATGTTATCTTTAAAATATCTAACATAACGTTAGGCTAACGTTAGCCTAACATTAAAAAACAGCACAGTCTCATCCCAAGACGTCATATAACTAACGACTTGGGACGTCTTTAGACCATACGTCAACATCTGCCTTTTTAGGGTACCCTTAAACGTCGGTTAGATGACGTTATCGGATCCTAACCTAACCCTACCCCAGACCTGAACCTACCCCTAAACCTACCCCGTCACCTAACTGACGTTAAAGGTAAAGCGTCAGTTGTACGCTTCAGTTGAAAGCGTCAGTTGAACGGTGAAAGCGTCAGTTGAACGGTGATGGCAACAAAATACGGTTCCTTCCTTAAAGGCCCATTTAAAAAAAGAACAGTTTTTCTCCCATTAAGCTTAATACACTGTTACTCAAACTGCCCTACAGTCGCATGATTGTTGATTGGACCAGCAATGACTTTGTCATAGAGTAGATTATCAATGTGAGCTTATGTCTTTTCCCAGCATGCTCTAGTCTCATACACCTATACTTATTAATCTTTAAGACAGGCATGAAAATGGAATTGCTGCAAATAACAGCCAGATTAGACATTCACAAACATGATTAATGGCAGTGGGACACTTCCAATGCTCGTGGAATATTAACGACATCATGCGTGCGACAGCCACGTTTCCGTTGCACTGTAAGACTATCGCATGCATCAACGCCCACTAATGTTAAACAACAACACCCGTAAGACCAGCACCCGTGTTTATCTGCTTGCTCTCTTGAGTGCCGACAAATTGATTTCAATCACTGATGACAATCTGATTGAGCGCAAATGGGTAAAACTTTTAATATTACCTTGTTGTCATGCAGGACAGCATTTAGAGAATTAGAAACATCAAAACTTATCACAGATATGAAAACAAATCAGTCTACACCTACAGCGTACTTCTGTACCTACTGTTTACAGAATAGGTATAGCAGAATAGTTGAGCTACATGGGTAAGATTACCTTTATTGTCCACATAACCACGGCCATCCTCCTCCTTAATTTCATGCTCTACATAGGGAGATTCCGGTGATGACATTTAGAGGGGGAAAAAAAAGGGAAAATGAACTGATTTTGACAGCATGAACATAAAAAAGAAATTTTCCACATATAACCACATACAGTACACATAGTTACAATGCTTATACAACATCGTGGTCAAATGAATGAATGTGTGAGCACGCACACACACCAAACCTCATCCATCATCCTTTTCACTAAAACCTAGTACCCTACTGCACTGGATCTACAGGGATCTTTATACTATTGGTGGTCTGTGGTCTCACACTGGTTCTGTCTGACCTAAAGCAGCCTACAGAGAGTCCAGCAGGACCAACTCAGTGCACAGAGCTATACACTAATGAATTTACCTTCCTCCTCACTTTCTTTGATGGACTCTGCCAAAGAAAGACAACACACATTCATCAGAGCACCAGGAAAAGACAAAGTGTGGATATAGCAGTGCAGTCTCATCCCAAGACGTCATATAACTGACGTCTTGGGACGTCTTTTGACTATACGTCAACATCCGCCTTTTTAGGGTACCCTTAAACTTCGGTTAGATGACGTTATCGGATCCTAACCCTACCCCAGACCTAAACCTACCCGGTCACCTAACCGACGTTAAAGGTAAAGCGTCAGTTGTATGACGGCCCGGGATCGTCATGTAACCGACGTTTAAGGGTACCCTAAAAAGGCGAATGTTGACGTATGGTCAAAAGACGTCCCAAGACGTCAGTTATATGACTTCTTGGGATGAGACTGTGTTACATATAGGCCTACAATGATGATACTATGACTTATGTCATATCAGTATCTAGTGAATATCATATAGGAGATATGAACAGCACAGAGGAAAGGACAGCTGGATATTAGCGGGCTTCATGTTTACCAAGTGTGATCTCCTCATAAACATTCTCCACTGTCAGAAAATGGAATGAGAGAGAAGAGAAAAAAGTCAAGGTAAGGACAGAGACGAAGAGTGAAAGAAAATACAGATTAACAGCATTGTAATAGATACAAATGTCTTTGAACCATCTGACAGAGACCAGCTAGTTTTACTCCTCAAACTTGTGCTTGTGGTTCATCAAAATTTGATGTCTATGATTATGTTGATTTTCTATTTAGAGACTGATACTCAGGTTGATGATCACAGCTTTGGAGTACTAAGAAATAGGGATATCAAACATACTGGTACAAAGGTGATACTAAAATTTGAAATATTTCAAAGTATTTATCATTACAATTTCTGTACCCATTTTTTGTGTCCCATATGATGTGACCAAAAGTTGTTGCGTAAAAAAAAAAACAACACTCTAAACTTTAGTCTTTCCCAAATGTATCAATCACATCGAACTTGAGATGTGACATTACCCCTCAATCTGCCCTCAAAATGCTGTTATATTTTTTCAGTAGCAGATCTGAACCCTGCGAGGGGGATAGATTTCCAGCCCTCATCCGTTTATCATCCGCGACCTCAAAGCAAGGCTGAAGTTAGTAAGCTCCAATGAACTGAAGCCACAGTCAAAATGCATTTCACATCTGTATGAGGCACAGTGCCATGAGAACATTCCCACAAGAGCCGCTAAAGGTTATCAACCTGAAGTCACGAGAAGGTTTTTTCAGTCCTCAAGGTCTAGTAGACAGTTGTGCACCCAAACGTGATTTTATCGGGAGTGAGAGTCTAGAAAGGTAAAATAAAGTGATCAACACTCTCATTGGGTCTCATTCAACAGTAATCGTATACAAATGGCATACCTTGGAGTGCAGAAAATATTCTCAAACAAAATCTCTGGGTTATTCTATATGAGGGAAAATGCGCAGCTATCCAAAAATGCATTTGTGTACAATTAACGTTATATGAAAATATCTTAAAAATATTAAATGAACCAAGTAGTATACACTGTAAAAATTAATATGCTTTATCTAATCAATATAATTGTGGCAAGAGATTATAAAGCAATATTATTAATTAAATTTAACAAATTAGAATTGAGAAATAATTAATCAAATTATTCCTTAAAAGTTAACCATTTAAAATGAGTAAAGTTTACACCAAAAAATTTAACAAAAATATCTCACTAACAGACAGATGTCAAAGATGAATTGAGAACTCTTTATTTTATATTGCCAACATTTAAGAAACCTGATGTTAAAAAGCAGAATCACTGAAGGAGAAAACCGTAATTTTAAAACAAACTGATCACCATAATGGTGACTTCAATTTATGTTTTTGTTGGTGGTTTTTGTAAGTTTTACTCATTTTAAATGGTTAACTTTTAAGGAATTAATTTGATTAATTATTACTCAATTCTAATTTGTTAAGTTTAACTCATAATATTGCTTGTAATCTGTTGCCACAATTTTTTTTTGATTAGATAAAGCATATTCATTTTTACATACCCTACAATGTGAATTTCAAATAATTCAAAGATTTCAAATAAATTTGGTTTTTGAACCTTCTATACACCAAAGGGTCCTATAAAAAAGTATAGCATTTTTTCTACATTTTTGCTGACTTGATGAGCATAATATCCTTCTAGAAGATTATAATCTGACCGACCTTAAACTTCTTAAGGCTACTGCATTAAAACGTTTAAACAATTTTTTAATAGACAGACGTCGACCAAAGGCAACAGACAGGTTTGCTGTGTTTTTTTAGATCAGTGTGTTACACTTACGCTTTTTGTTGGCATTGGTTATACTTGTTTTCGCCGATTAAACATGTAAAATCAGTCCTTGTCGTGTCGTAGAATGTGATGCATTGTGATCTGGTGATTGTCTGTGTTGGTGGGCGTTTGTTGCTGCTGTGTGAACTGCCCTTCAGTGTGAAGAACATTTTAAAAACCTAAACTAACTTTTAGTTTTTTTTTCCAATATAAAAAACCTTTTGTGGAATGGAAAGGTTACATGGATGTTAAAGATTTTTCATGAAATCATCAATGCCAATAAAGAACCTTTTTTATTTTAAAACTGTAAGTATACTTACATTTAGGACACATTTAAGTACAAACTTGAATAGTTAAGAAATCAGACCTGCTGTTTGCATAGACAGCATTGCTGAAGCTTAAAATGAGATGTTGTTTTCCCAGCAGTGACTCATATATTAATGAGCGTCAGTGAGACGGATGCTGTGTGAACATATCAGGAGCTGGGAGTTAAAGAGAGACTGCTGGTTGCTAGCTTGATCTCTTTAAGGTTACAGAGGTCCTACAAGAAGAGAAAGGGCACACACAGGAAATGGAAACGTTTTTTGACATATGGTGCTGTTGCGTAAGAGATGTGTCGTGTGTCCAGCATATGGTTTGTCCTGGCAGTTTCTGAGCTGGAACAAGCAGCGTGTTGTCATGGTGCCACCAGATTATAATGGCACTTCCATCTCCACCAGCATGAGCGTTCTGGCACTTCATGGGCACTAATGCACCTGCTGCCCAGCACAGGAATGTGAGTCAGAGTACATGCAGCTGTTCTGGACTAAAGGAGTACATATTGTATAAGGTACCCATAAGACAGCAAAATTACAAATCTCTAAAACATATCAAGCTTCTCACAGGAAGCAATGAGACCTTTACTTAATATTTTCTCTCAAGAAAAATACCCTAGCAATGACCCCTATATACTCCCAACAGTGTCACAAACTAAGTTTATATTTGCAAAGATACCAAAGTGTGCAATCAAAAGCCAGATCTATCTATCTATCTGTCTGTCTGTCTGTCTGTCTGTCTGTCTGTCTGTCTGTCTGTCTGTCTGTCTGTCTGTCTGTCTATCTGTCTATCTATCTATCTATCTATCTATCTATCTATAATAATACAATTCAAATTCTTATAAATAACTTATATTGTATGCAAATGTCGGCATTATGTAATATATTTAATGTTTTTCTCCTTAATGTACACTCTAAAAAATGCTGGGTTGTTTTAACCCAATTTTGGGTCAAATATGGACAAACCCGAAATGTTGGGTTAAAAATGTAATGTAAAAATTTAACCCAACGGCTGGGTTAGTCCATATTTGACCCAAAGTTGGGTTAAAACAACCCAGCATTTTTTAGAGTGTATTTTTTAACCATTTTAGCAGAAACATCTGAGACAAGCTAATGTCTCAAGAATAAAAAACAGCATCTGAGCAATAATAATAATAATAATAATAATAATAATAAATAACAATAGTTCTAGCAACACATTTCTTTCACATTCTTTCAAAAACACACAATCTAAGCTCTGCCAGATGCATAAATATATAACACTTTACACATGCTGCACGCAAATATTAATCTTGTGTATGTCTATTTGTATTCCTCCATAATCATTTTTGTAGAAAATCTAAGACAAAGTTAATATTTAAATGACGCTCCACTAAGAGCTACACAGGAGAAATCTCAGAGCAATTATATCATTCTCTGAGTGCAAAGGGAGGACATTATAAAAATCTATTAAAATGCTTTAAGCATTCAAAAGTGACAGAAATCAGAATGTGTGTAATAGTTTTCCATACAGATTAAAGAGGGAGGAAGGAAACCAACTAAAATCGCCGTGTGTGTGTGTTCAGAGTGCTGGGTATATGTGTGAGCACAGGTGGGCATGCAGGTAGGGCAGAGTGGAAAGAAAGAGTTGCTGAAGGATAAAAAACACCACTCTAGAGGGCTGTGCATGGGACACACACACTCATACACACTGGAGGGCAGTGGGATGGATGCAGAGTTTTTACCTTCCAATGCGTTTGAGTGGTAGTCTGGTTTGAAGCATGAATGGAGACAAGAACAGAACAACACATAAGCCATGAACCTGAGCCATGGACACACACACACACACACACACACACACACACACACACACACACACACACACACACACACACGCACGAGCAGCATTCATATACACGCTCAACAGTGAGTATGAATTACAATCACATGTTTTACTAACGTCACATGTGCACAGCACAAATACATGAATATTGTCTGACTTGATTCTAAGTTGGATCTCCTCCGGATCAAGATTCACTACTTAGAGCAGGTGGGCAAGTGAAAATGGCCCTTACAGTTGAGCATCAGTGTGTGTGTGTGTGATGAGAAAGACAGTCTCCAGAGAGCAATGTTTGACAGACAGCAATCCTTCTTCGCCCTGTTCTGAGACATACCATTGCAGGTGACGTGTTAAAGACGTGCATCTCGCCAAAAACAGACAACTACAGTCCTGTTCAGAACTCACTCAGCAGAGCTAGATCTACAGGCTCTCCTAAATTACTTTCTGGCTATAGTATGACAACATCTTACTGTATACTATAGATATATATATACAAGCATACTGGGTTCCACAGCCTGCATTATTGTCAATTTACACTTTGTAAAGTACACTTATGCAAAAAACATATTTTAATATCTATTTATTCTATTTGTAGTATTTAGGAAATAATGACTGAATAATAATGATCTATATAATTCAATATGTATAATTATTTAAAATAAAAGTATTTCAATAAAGATATATTTTATTTATACTCACTCACACAATTATAAATACATCATATGTACAGTAATATGTACAGTGTGAACACAGGGAAAATTTGAATATACATATATGCACACACACACATTTGTGCATTGCAGTGCGTCTCATGAGTCCGATAAAGAGCCAACTTTAAAATCACGAGACTCATTGCAATGCACAAACATCGAGCCTCTGCATCTAATTGATTTTTGCATCACAAAGTTGACTTGGCCAAACCCCGCCTCTTTCCAGATGATTGACAGCTGTCAGATAGCAAAGTGATAAACAGGGAAAGGGCACTCACCTTTGACCCTCTCTCCGCGGTTCAGCTGGATCTCTCCCTCTCCCTGCGGCGAGTACGGTTTGACCACGATGAAGGTGCGTCCCGGCACGGCGCTGTAGAGTTTCCGTTTGGGGCCCCGGGCTCCTGAGAGTGTGTGCGAGGGCCCCGCGGGAGGAGGGCTGGGGTCCCGATGGACCGTCCCCGGGCTGTAAACAAAAACATAGGTTACCGTGGTGATGCCCGGCAACTGGTAGCCAAATCCGGTGGTCACCGACATGGTCCTGTGAGAAGGCGGCAGCGTGAGTGCGTGCCCGCGTGGGTCTCCTGCTCGATATTCCTGAACCGGCCAGGGCCGTCAGGTGCGAGCGGCTCACTCCCTCTCTTCCTATCACTCTCTTCTCCTCTGCTCCTCTCTCCTCCTTTCTTCCACCTCTCCTCTCCTCTCCTCCCTCTGAGCGCTCCCCGCCCTCCCCCTCGCTCCTGTTAACGGCTGCCTGTCTTGAACGGCGCCGAGCGCTCGGGCTGCACTCGCCGCGAGTGGGGCATGTTCACTCCCCGTGGCTCTCGCACACACACTCGCACACGTACACACAGCGTGACGAGGCTGCGCCGTTTCCCCGTGGCTGGGCTGGCGCGCACTCGCCCTGAACATTCTATCCGTACGCGGACGGTCGCCGACGACAACTCGCGGGCGCCAGGGGTCCGGATTGATTAGTGTGTGGGGGGGTTGAGCACGACTCACCTCACCCCTCTAAAACAGCACAAACACACACACACACACATTCTTCTAGTGCTGTAATCAACAGCCCCTCCTAACCCCCTCTCTCTCTCTCTCTCTGCCCTCCAAGTCCTTCCCTCCCCTCCTCTGTCTCTCTGCCCTCCCCGTCTCCCTCTCTCTCTGTCAGCAAGACAGCTTCTGAATGTTAATGCAGCTGCAGGAAGAGTGGCTGTAACCCTGTCTCTCTCATTCATCTCAAGTCGTTCACCCATTCATTCCACACACAACAGCGAAAACGGCAACATCCCACAATTCCCATTTTAAGTCCCGTGAGGAACAAAACAAGAATTCACATTCATTACAGCAAAACACTCAGGAACTACATTTAATGAGCTTTAACAGGTTTATGTGTCCTAAGGATGTTAACTTCCCCGCTACTGGTATTCTGTTCAAATGTTATGGGGTGAATTCACTAAGAATGAATCACACCTACTGATTTCATTGTTTATTTGTGCTGTTGTAGCACTCGATTAACTAAAGGTGAGATAAATCAGCCCGTTCTCATCCTTTAACGTCATATAGAACGCTATATGACAAAACGGCGCTATACTACGCACATGGCACCCGTTATCGTTAATATAACACGTGCGTTATAAATCCTTTAGCGTGAATATGACACGCACACCCTACCCCACACATAAACTTAGCCCTCACAGCACGTGTTATATTAACGATAACGGGTGCCATGTGCGTAGTATTGCGCCGTTTTGTCATATAGCGTTCTATATGACGTTAAAGGATGAGAATGCGTTGGATAAATGGCACAAAAATGCCAAAAAAATGTACGAAATCTCCATAAATACAAATGTACGATGTTTGATTGAAAATAACTTTCATTTTTTTATATATTGCCAATTTTTGTAGTGATTTATTGTGTGTATACATCTATGGATATTTATATGTATTTACACACGCACACACAAACATACTAAGTGGAGTATACAGTAGTCCGAATGTATTGCAGGCAATTAGCGAATGCAGGTTTATATTCTAAAATTTTAATATGCAAAAAATGGTGCAACTGTTTAATGAATCGACCACACTGTTTTGAACAAAAAAAAAAAAAAAAAGCTGATATCTTCCAGCATGAGCAAGGAAATTCTTCAACCATTGCCTTTACTGTCAAAACCAGTCAGTCTGAACACACATGCACCTTCACATACTCTTTCCGTCTCTCTCTTTCTCTCTCTATGCATTCCTTGCTCCAAACATTGAGCTCAGAGACGGCTTTCCAATTACTGCAGCGGTACAGGGCAAGAGTGACTGCAGCATGTAAATGAAGAGTAACAAGAAAGAGAGAGGAATGATATAAGGAACTGAACGAGGAAAATTAAAGGGTTGTAAAGGAAAGAAGAGTGGGAAAGAGTAAGTAACAGAACACATGATGGACAGAGGTTGCAAGAAGTGAATGGATGAGAGACAGAGAGGTATGGAGTCTTGTCGTCACGGTTTCCTCAGATTTAGTATTGATCAGTCAGAGCCGCCACAAGGCTGTAATAAACAGCACTGAAAATCATTGGCCGGCTTTGCAGTAATACCATATTTCAGACACATCAATCATCATAAAACAGACATACACAGCCTCTGACAAAGTGTTCTTTTTATTTAGGACATTTGTAAGACGATAGATTCAAAGCAGTGCAGCGGAGCCTGAGGAACGGCAGCCTGTGGATGACATAAACGTCACACTCCCACTCTCTGTCTGATCTAAAACTTGAATGCATGAGGAAGTTTCACACGCTGTGTGAAGCCACAAAGACATGCTGCGTTTCAAAACTCATACCCTAGTGAGGTTCCTACCTAGACAGTCCAAACATTCGATTTGAACGTGTGTATGATGCGCGAGAAATGTATTGATAAATAGAAAGCATGTGTCTTGATTCACCAGGTGCCAGGTTCTTTTCACAGTTCTTTTCTTTCTCTTTAGGTGCAGTAATAAGGACTGATGGCTTGATTCGAAGTCACACACAGACTAAATCCGCAGGCTGTCATCATGCTATGAACTAATCATCACCTTTTTATTTAATTTTTTTCTTCTCCAAAATGTACTAATACATTAATAAATACAAGTTGTATATCTGTTATTTTTATTTAAAATACCCGAGCTAACATTAACAAACAGTAAGTTGAATAACTAATGTTAACAAAGATTAATGCATTAACCATTAGTATAGTATTAACCACATGCATTAATTTAGTGTAAGATATTTTAATTAGGGATGTCCCGAACCGATCTCAAGGATCATTATCGGGAACAATTAAGGCATTTATTTAATTGATCCGTATTGGCTAGGCTAAGCCTGATCCTTTTTTTTCCCGTCAGGTGGCGTAGGTGGCGTTTAAGTGGGTCTGCCAACCACCATTAAAGCTGCAGTAGGGAGTTTTGAGAAAACGTTGACTTAGCCTGAAAATTTGAACAAGCACAACTTACAGATCCCACCCCCTTACTCTCCCTCCACAGCTCCCCCCAACAGCGGAGCATGTCGTGAACACACTAGTAAGCAGGGACACCAATGACGGCGGATAACCAGTTATGGCACATTCACTAGTGGGGACGAAACATCAACAACATGCTTTATATTGAGTAAGGCCTGCCCATACTTTGACTACAAACTTGGTCCTCAAATCATTACTTGTTTTGCAATACAGGTAATGTAATTTTATAACGTTGCACCGTTTCTATAAGTATATAGCTAGTAAGATAATATAACGGTAACCAATGTAACATATATAATATAATAGGTGGTTTGCAGTCACGTGATTGTGTTGACGCGCGGAATGGAGATGGAGGGCAAGAGCGCAATGGACGAGATGGAGGAAAATCCGTACTGTACTACTGAAAGAGTGAAATATATAAACAGAAAATCGAAACATATGTTGGACGTGATCCTTGCGTTATGAAGAAGACCGATTTTCAACTGAATTGAGAGATTTGCCTGCAATCGAGGCTGTAGATATCAGCAACTAACTCGTCTCAAAGACATATTTTGACTTTACAAAGTTCGGAAACTGGTACGTTACACAAACAGGCACATAAGTGTATTTAAACACCTGAATAATGTAATTATAAGCCACATAAGTAATGTATTAACTCACATTTGACGAAGTGATCACTGCACACACACACACAGGCATTTCCCATTCGGCTCCTCCCGACCGCAGACGTAGGTTTGCAAGGCATTTTTCACTGTGTTTTTCTGTCAATTTCTTGTATTTTCCCCCCTTATGAACAACAACTTTGGGCACACGATAAAAACTCCTCATGGTTTGATCGATTTGAGCAACCATAAACGAAGCAAAACATTTTGAGTGTTTTTATAGTGCTTCCTAAATATAGAAAATCACTTCCTGCCCTCCATCTGCATTTCGCGCCATGGCAACGCAGTGGCGTGACGTCACGTGAAAACAAGCTATTCAAGTAATTATTCTAGCGAAATGTTGGCCTAATGATAGATAAGATTTGCTAGTACATTTGTAACAGGGTTCAGTTGTTATGTGAAGGAGGAGGCGGAACTGGCGAACGTTTAACAAGTTTAATAAAAAATAAACAAATACAAAATGAAAAAAGAAAACCGAACATAAAAACACAATGTAAAATCAGGCCTGTTCCTCTCTCCACTGTCGTCGCTCCTCCTTAATGCCTCCACTTGTCCGTGAGAGACGCGAGACCAGTGCGTCTCACAGGTGTCTTTCATTATCACTCACGCCACCGGCCTTGCGCCGCACTCATGCCCCTGTCCCTCGGCCTCGTCCTGCTCGCCACAATATTATAATGACAATCCAGTGAATTAGCAGGTTTCAATTGTTGCCTTGCACAGTGTGTGACATTTTATCTACATGTATCGTGGCTAGAGTTTTGATACCGAGTCAATGGGCTCTGTCTAGTTCTTTCTTTTTCGCTTGTTTATCGTCATTGTTTTTTTTTTTCCTTTTACTTGTCTTTGTTTTATGAGCAGGTGCCACACGAGAAATTTTCAGTTTAGGTTGTTTCTCCGCCATTAGCACAGCTGCGGCACACCTGCAATCTTGAGTTTGGTTTGAACGACGGTTCGCGCTGTGCAAGAGAGGGGTGTGATCAGCAGTGTTGGGCATGTTACTTAAAAAAGTAATTAGTTGTAGTTACTAGTTACTTTTCACAAATAGTAACTGAGTTAGTAACTGAGTTAAATCATTATAAGAGTAACTAATTACCAGGGAAAGTAACTATTGGGTTACTTTAAAATAAAAATGTTAAAATAGGCCTGTGTCAATTGTCAAATAACTTGGATGCACCCAATATTAAATATGTTAAATGAATGAAATGGACAATATATTATTATAAAACATTGTACATTAGTCTATGGGACAATGTGGGAGACACTAATAAAATTCAATATATTATTTTAAATATCATTACTATAGTAGAAAAATAAAACATAATTTTAGGCT